AGCCATGTCAAACATGCATGTTGGCTGGTGATGTAGAGTTTATTTTTGCTTCTAGAAATGAGAGATTTAAACAAATTGAAATCAAAACTTGAAATAATTATGAATAAGAGAAATTATGCTTGAAACTTGTCAACATAGGTATGTTTTGCAAAAATCTGTTAGAAGAGATATATCTGCAATCCTTTTGAATATTTACTGCATTGCTAGTGAGATTGGCACAAACAATTACCAAGATATACAGAAACAAAATACCGTGATTTGTGTTTCGAAGAAAGAAAATTATTGTTATTTTTCTTCAATCTTGCATACAGGACAAAATGAAGTACCCTTATAATTGGATTGCATCAAGCTGGGGAGCTACTCTGTATAGTTGACTAAACTAAAAGGTGCACATTTTGTCATTTTTTGCTAGTTATCTTATTTTATTGATTGGCAGGAACAATATGGAAAACTATCTAACGCTAATCACATATTAGCTCCACCAATAGAAACTCAATAGACCGTATTCGTAAATGGCTGCCACATTCTTTTGTTGTTTAAGAGTAAAAATTCTTTTGAATTATCAACTCAAAAACGAGGTTAGCTGGGCTAATTTTAAAACTTACAAAACAATTTTTAATTGCAGCCATTCATGAATAGGGTCTGTAAGAAACCAGCCATAAGCGCCCAGGCAGCTTCCCATCGGAACAGCTCAATTTCGTAAGCCACACATTGTACGCATTGCGTACCTATTTGCTTTTAAATAATACTCTCAAGTAGAATATTGCAATTTAGTAGTTGGTTTGAAAGAATTAGTTTTTGTTTCTGTAAGTAGTTTATTGTAGGTAATGTACAGTGATTAGTTTACTCTAAGTATTACATGTACACATTAATTATTTTATTCTTTGTAACGTACTGTACGTAGTTTATTGTAATTAACGCACAGTAGGTAAGTTAATTGTAAGTATTGTATTGTAAGTAGTTTATTGAAATTATACATTGTAAGTGAGCTTTTTTCAAATAAAAAATATAAATTACAAAAAAAAAAACTATAACCTAACGCAAAACGTAAGAACGTAATGTGTATGCAGTCAGATAACAAAACTATTTCAAGGAGTGTTTAATTTAATTTCATATCGTGTTCATAATTAAGCGCTTCATTACAAAATCGCAAACCCAGTACATCTTCCCCCAAATTGAAAGTTTTGCCTTTATTAGTAATTTCGTCCTGTCACCACAACCACGCACCAGAAACAAAAATGTACCAAGCTCTCAGCTGACCCAACAGGAATTATTTTTCTAAAAATAGATTATATATTCTTGGGCATCTGCATATTCACTACATTTGTGCTTCATAGCTTTTTTTCTGGCTCAGGAACATTGCAGAGATATTGGAATGTTAAGATCACTGTTTTATATCCTTCATAATCGTAGAGCGGTCGGGAAAATTGTCGGCTAATTGTCGGGAATAAAACTTGTGACGTCACTGTCGGTGAACTCAAGAAATGCCGAAAACTTGAAACTATTTTGGTTTCAAGTTCAACTTCGGAGGAAAACCACTCAAAATCAAAAGTTAGCACTTTCAAGCTTCCCCAGAACCCAAGACTTAAAAGAGAATGGCTTATAAAAATGAAAGAGAATGCTTCATGCCCTCGAAGCATTCGTGCGTTTGTGTAACACTTTACCGAAGACAGCTTCGAACAA